CCCCAAAACCCCAAAACCCCAAAACCCCTCAAGATTTAATTAAGTAAATAAATGTGATGATAAATTTATTTGTAATCAAACTCATTAGATTTCATATTATTTTATCCTACTTCTTATTGCTATAAAGTTATCATTCTTGATAGTTGTCCGAAGATCTCAAAAAATCATGAACAAATTTAATCTATTTCTTTACAGGATCAACCATTGCTCTATTAGATACATAATCATGCCTTGAATAATTATCATCGTTTTCGACATTATTTGAATCAAAGTACTGCTATTAACTTTCATTTTAGCTTTCTTTAAATGATCCTTGATTATTTTACTTATCATTCTAGCCCTCAATTTATCCTTTCAGCAATCCATATTTCTTTTATCTCTTCTAACTTGGAAGTAAAAATACTTCCATCTCTTCCATTTTCCTTTATTATGCTTCTTGAAGTCTTTTAATAAATATATCCATTCCCTTTACCTGGCCATTATTTTTCTCAGGAATAGATGACTTCTGCAAATTTTGATAGCTATGATCACTTTATCTCAAGTTTGGCTTGAATGTACATTCCTTGACTTTCTCTTTTTTCTCTTTCTTTCTTTCTCCCTTTACTTTTGTATCTTTTTGTTCTAACCATTGCAAATTCCTCTAATAGAAATCACTTGAACTCCTTTAAAGATGATTCATATGCGCTATACCCTAAGCTTGAGAGTTTTGGGCTTCTAATTAAGGTTTAAATGTACATTATCTAAGCTCATCCATCTCTTTTAGCAATCCTTATTCATGAATCTTCTATTATTACTATTTTTTCCTCTCTGTATCTAATCTATAGAGTAATTCAAAATGATTTTTAGGCAAGGATCTGGAGTTCCTTAAGTTTAATTCTTTATCCTTTTCCTTAAAATATTCTTTAAGCTATTCCTTCTTTTTCTTAGCAATTATATTACTGATTTCATTAAGTTATGGCTTGAAAGTAAATTGATCATTTTTAGATGGTGATATATTTTATTCAGTTATTTCAGAGAATTTTGATTAAGCTGTTTGATCTTTCTTCCCACTCATTAGATCGAAAATAGACTTCTATTAATCTATCATTGCAAAGCTAGATTCAGGACCAGGTATTGAATCTTATCTCTTCTTTACTGATGATTAGGTTTGCTTTGCAAAAGATTAAATCTTTTAATCATCTTTAATTTTAGTGCTTTACAGCTTAATAATAGGTTCTGATTAAGGAGAAGAATTTTGATTTTGATAATTCGGTTTTTCAATTTTGCTTGAACTGTCACTTTAATTAATGTAACTGTTTTCTTTTTTCTTTTCAACGGAATATTGATCTTTGACTCTTTTGCTATTAGGACTTTTTTATTAACTAGATATATTGTTTTAAGTCTTATGTATTATATAGCCTTGTTTTTAATCTTTAACAAAATTTTTAATCATTTACTTTTCATTCTTCTTCTGCTTTTCCTAAGATTAATTTCTTTCCTGAGTATAAATTTAGTCATTAATGACTGTCTCTTCAATAAAAAATCTCACCGACCTCTATAAAGAAATTTCTATTAAATATTTATCAATAATGCTTACTCTCTCATCTTGCTACTATTAATCATCAAGAATTACTTGTCTTTATGCCTCTATCTAAGCAAATTATTCTGCATGATTCTAAGAAAATGACGGGCTTTTGGAATGATTGACTTTTTTCTTTTACTGCTAATTTTACATGTTAAATGGCTATTAGATTTGCTATTGTATGTATTAATCATTATTTTGCAAGTTCTACTTTGGTATTGCGATTTCTGTTATAAGTTGCTGCTTAGGCAACACCTCATCAACTTATTGATGATTTTATAAGACTCTCAATTATGAATCTTGCTATAAATCCAAGTTCAACTTATTTGGACTTCCTGCAATAATAACACCCTGCTTTGAATTTGAAAGGGCATTATACTATTGACTCTTAGTTCTTTGCCCTCTGTCTCTTTTAGGCAGATCAAACTTTATTTTCTTACTAGCAGAGTTACTTTCTTTATTTTTACTGGAAGGAGTATCCTCATTGGTTTGAACAGTGTTTTAATCATTTTATAGATACTTGTTAAACAAGTCTTAAGCCTTTTTGTTTATGTAAAGATCTTTTTCTGGCTTGAAATCAATCGATCTCGAACTTAGATGATTACTTTACTTTTGAAACACTTTTAGATTAAGTTTCCCATCCTTTTATTAAGTTAGTTAACTAGCAGCACTTGGAGATTTGTTAATAGTTTTAACATCACTTACTTTCCTATCCGACAATTACTTGACTGAATTCACAGTCTTCATCGGGCTGCTGCTACTACTTTGCTCATTGTTTGCACCTTTCTTGATACTTCTGCTCCTTGATTCTACTCTTATTATTTTCTTTTCTTTTTCTTGGATAGATTTACTATTGCTTTCAAATTTCTAATTAGTCTGTTTAACATTTTGATTTTCTATCCTAATTTCCTGAATAGAATTGCTGATACTTATATTTTTGGCATTTGAATTTTGACTTCCTATGATATGAATGGGTCATGGCCTTTCACTAGATAGATCATTTTTGAATTGTTTTAGTAGGGCTTTAAAATGCTATTTTCCGAAGCCAGCTTGTGATGCTTTCATAGAACCTAGGAGAAACTTCTAGCTTTTTGACTAGGAGTTTGATGTAGATTATTGTTTCATGTTTTATTTTTACAATTAAAATTTGTCATATCATTTTTACTATATAAGTCTCTCGGGGTTTTGGGGTTTTGGGGTTTTGGGG